AAGGAGGGCGGGGCTACCCCGGTTTCTTTAAAAGCAGGACAGGTGGACACCAGCCTCTGTGTTTGGTTCCTGCCTTGTGTTCTCACTAACCAGGGTCGGTTTCTGTCCTGAGGCTGGGCCATGGCCTAGTAGCCCGCGTCAGCATCTGTCGCTCCTCCTTCCCTGCAGAACTGTTGCCCTGAGTTCCCGTCTTCTTGTTTTCATTTATTGTGCTTAATTTTTGTTTTAGTGCTTCGTGCTGCTTTCCTGACTTGCATCCTTAAGTTGTCTTGTTTCTGCTCTCTCTAGACACAACTACCACTTTCCTGGCCTAATGCCACCTAACAGCTGGTACTGATACCAGAATTGCTGGTTTTCAGGCCTAGTCTCCCAGCCAGGAACTGATCCCAGGCTGCAGGGGCAGCACTGAGTCCCAGCCACTAGACCCTCACGGGTTGGTGTCTCACGAAGCCACAGCAGGAACTTCGCAAACGCTCAGGCAGGCAAGTGAGAAGAGGCAGGTTTGTTTAGAGAAAGAAAAAGTTTATTGAGGAGAAAAAGAACAGAAATAAAGTGGGACTCCCAGGCCATGAAACCAGGCCAGAGAGGGGCAAGGAAACCAAGTGGAGTCGTGTCTCAGGGAATATGCACCTTCTTTCCCTCAATATTCTAAAGCTCCACCAGTCTCTCTATGATTGGTTAGTTCTCGGTGGTCTCACTGCTGCTGAGCGGGGGATCTTCACATTCCTTATCTTTGGTCCTCCTTACTGAATGTCTTGTTGATATAGTTTACAAGTTTGTCTTTCCCCATTTGTTGCATCTTCCCCCTTGTTTGATAGATTTATCTTTATGGCCCAGTCTCCCAGATGAGCACCCCTGCATTTTAAGGAAGAGAAAGTCAAACATCAGCTATTGAAGAAAAGCAGGCTGGCACCCACCGGTCTCAGTGCTGACCCCTTCCCATCTCCCCCTGCACTCTGTCAAAGGGCAGGACGGTGGTCTTCCAGACATGATTCTGCTGCCCTCCTCATTTGTCAACAAATTAAAGCACTCTCCTTTTCCCCAAACTCTGCCTCCCTTTATTGGCTGAGGGAAACTGAGGCCAGCGTTTGGTAACAATGTTGACCTTAGTCCTGGGATGTTTACTATTCCCAGTGGAATTAGTTACATTCCTCTTGTCCTTCTCTCTGGAGTCTTCCTTAACTCTCCAGAGGTCCCCACCTGCGCTGTCCTGGAGGCTGCCTAATTCTCCCTAACTTGCCCAAGGATTCAGTACCAACCATCTGCACGCCAGGGGATGTTCATGTTCAATGCAGATGAGTAAGCAGACATGGGGGCATCCTGAAGGCAACCCTGTGACGAGCTCAGGCTCCATCTACTCTTTGTTTTTATGATAGTCTCTTAGCCAGTTTCCACCATTGTGATGCTCACCCTATTTTCTAAGTGATTTCCCAAACACTACATGATGTCATGAAATCTGTGTGACCCCCATTATGTGCTAAATGTATCATGTCCTTGTAGAGAATGCTGATTGGGCTGGAAGGTTCATTTGCTTTCAAGCCGTACTGTGCTTTTGCTTATTGGGAACCCCGGGCATGAGGCTGTCTCTTCCATTCCTTCCTTCCCAGCCCCGCCCCAGCTCCCAGGCCATCATCCCTCTCTGTCCCTTCCCTCCACAGTCAGTTATCCTCTATGCTCGTTCTCTTTTGGAACCATGGATATTTTATTGTACTGGTTCTCATTTATTTTCGATTGAAAAGAAACTGCATAGCTGAAGAAAGAGCCAGGGCTGCTCCTGCCTCCACACCAGAGCATGACATCTCCTATCTGGGTGCTTCTACCCTGGGTCCTCTCATCCCAGTTGTGTCAACCACTTTTTTCCTGCCCTCCCTTTCCTTCTTGTGAAATCAAAGTCAGCCTTTTAGATCACCTTTTCCTTGTGTCCTGGGGAGGTCACCCCATTCTCTGATTCCCAGATTCCTACATGGCCTGAAAACTTCTCACCATGAATCAGTGATCTTCACTTCTTGAAAATACTCCCTGTGGGACAGAGGCCTGCGGGCTGGCGAGGCACTGATGTGGAGACCCCCACTTGCGGCAGGCTGAGCCTCCCATTCTGTCTCTTGACATGGTCCGGGCATTAGGGGAGACTCCCAAGAAGCGGGAGGAGTTCCTGTGCTCCCCCGAAGAGGGAAAGTTTTACTTCCCAGAAGAGGGGCGTTCTTACACTGCCCAAAGAAGATCTGAACTAGGGAGTCTCCAGGGCAATGCCTGCTAATGCTCTCCTCTTTGTTCTTGGTTAATGCAAAAGTAAGTTATTAACTGGCATGTGAAAACCTAATTCAGACCCAGGTGACAATTGGCTCATTGTTCTTACACATGAACTATCACAAAAGAAGTAAAAGTTGTTAAAGATATAGTTAGGAAAGAAATGTTTCGGTCCTGAGAACTATGGAGAACAAGCTGCCCTGAACCAGCTGTGCTCGGAAACCATAGCCTAACCTGGGGGGTACGTGTTTGCGGCAACAATACATCTCTGGTATATGCGTAAGGCCAACAGTTCGCAGGTTGTGTGGAGGTTAGGAATTTCCAGTTAAGAGTTAGACTTCAGCAGAACTTACATAGATTTGATGAGTTGTTTTAGATCACTTTGAAGTAATTGATAATAGGCTAGATGAATTGAGTGCTAGAGAATGGGTTGATTTTAGTAATATAGCATAACAATGGACTTTCATGTCTACTCCAAAATCAGGAAGGCGTGACAGGATGATTGATTGTTACTGAACATTGTACTGTCTTAGATAATTGATTATTGCCAGAAAAAGAGTTGCACCTAGGAGAGTAATTGTCCCTGTTGATTTTCTTAATCAGATTAAAGAAGTGTCCTTTTGTAGTATGAGATCGAGGGTCTTTGTATATTCATGAGAAAATATGTAATGATTGTTTCTGTTCTGCTTTGATGCTTATGCTGATGTAATCTCACCGCTTGCCTTAAGGTATAAATAAAGACCTGCTGAGACCCTCAGTAGGAGATACTTGCACCAGAGAGGGTGTCTGTGTCTACCTCGCTCCACTTCCCCTCAGTCCTCTGAGAGAAAACTTGGCCAATGCCGTCCTCTCCTCTCTGAGACCCCAGACACGACTTCTAGCTGGGGCTGGTCTCCAGCACCCACTGGGACGAGGAGGGCGCTGGGGAAGAGCGAGGGGGGGAAATGCAGCTTTAAGGGTTCCCAGGAGGCGCCCGCAGGTCACCGCACCAGGACACGGATGCGCAGGCAAGCAGGATGGCGTCCGTGGCCCAGAGCAACCTAGAAAACTCTGGAAATGAGAAAGTAGGACAGAGACGCTAAGGAGACGGCTAACCACTTACTAGTTAAATGTGTTATCAGCGATCACAGTAGAGATTATGGGACGGGGGAAATATGTGCATTGAAATTTGTATAATCCTGACGTCTTTCCATGCTTAGGTCTGGATTCAGATTTACTCATTTTTGCCAACACCACCACAGGCGTCACTGTCCGTCTGTCTGTCAGGTGCCTGGTGCCCGCGTGTCCCTTTCCATTGACGTCAGCCCATTCCCTTGGCTCTGGGTTTCTCTGCCCATTCCCTCCACTGCCAAGTTGATAATTTTCTAGTTATCACTAATAATGGGGGGGTGGAGAGATTTCCTGAGTGATGTACATAGACCATCATGTTTAATCTGAAAAAATCTCTTTAGGTTCTCTGTTTCTTTGATTTGGAAAATGAAGGCTCTCACTTCTGGATGTTGGCATTTGCCTGTGGAGATTATCAGGACTCAGTAGTTTAAGTTTCCCTTCCATTATATAGCACAGGCTTTTTTTTTACAGATTTACCCCTTATTCCTTTAGAAAAGAAAAATTATAAAATCTATCTCAGCACAAATATGAAAAGAAAAGAAGCACTGTCAGTGAAACAAAAACCTCAGCAGCAATCCCTCTCCTTCAGTTGCTCTCACGGTTTGTCCCCATAGTGTGTTTAAGAAATTCAAATAGGGGCCTCCCTGGTGGCGCAGGCCATTGAGTGCAGCACTGTGAAGCTGTCGCAGCATCTGCAGTACCGATTCAATCCCTACCAGCCTCAGAGCAACCCACATGGCGAGCAGACCTCTCCTGTCTCGCCTGTTGCTCCCCTCAGCAGTGTATTTCGTCAGTCTGCCTGTTCTGCTCCTGCTCTGTCTCCAGTGAATCTGCTCACCCTCCCTCACATCTGGACTGTACCCTGGCTCTTGTATAAATAAAAAATAAATCTTTAAAAAAAAAAAAGAAATTCAAACAGTATCATTCACAAACAGAATTATCACTTTCACAAATTAAAATAACATGATTTCCTTGATAAGAAAATTAGGCACTCATTATCTTTAATAGGTGTGTGGTCTCATATCTGTGTATATCTGTGCACATAAGAGGTGAAGGTTAATTGCCTCCTGTGTTCTTGTTCCCACTCTTCTCCACTGAAGAACAAGCCGTGAACAAAAACATTTGGTTCTATCTAAATCATGACTCGGCCATTTAGCAAAACTAATTTATTCTCCTTTGACCAACCATGGAAAGCAATTGCCTTTATTCTTTTTTTTTTTTGTCTTTTTTTAAAAAGATTTATTTATTTATGCATACATGCACTGGGGTACAGGCCAGAGGTGTGGCAGGGGTGGGAGGCAGGTGAGAGGATTCACCAAAGACAGAGTGGGGAACAGAACAGGCGAACTGACTGAAATACACTGCTGAGGGGAGCAGCAGGCGAGTCGGGAGAGGTCTGCCACGCCATGTAGGTAGCTCTCTGGCCGGCTGGGGATCAAACTTGTGCTGCAGTGGCCACAGCTAGTTTCATAGGTTGCCTCTTAACCCCTTGCACCACCAGGGACAGACATACTGCCTTTAGTCTTTAGGGCACTCAGACGGAGAGTTGAGAACATTTATGCTATTCAAGTATTTCTTCCTTTATGTCTTTGATCTATTTTTTTTTCCAGTTGAAATGTTATAAATAAATTATTCTGTTGCAGATTATGGCTCAAGTTTGGAAGATGATGCCGTGGGGATAATTCAGGGCACAACCCAAGGACGTTGCTGATTCTCCTTCAGGTATTGGGTGGAGACTATTTACAGTTGGGTTAAAAGCCCTGATGGCCTGACTAATCTGAATATGGTTGATTAAATTCACTTAAAATTCTTTTGATATTTCTGATACTGCTGGATCCTGGCCAAGAGCCAGCACTGGCTGGGTTAGTCTCCAAATTTGGTCTATAACCAACATTGAAACTGTCAAAATGAAAGGCATTTGGTTGTTGAACAAGATGCTTGGGTAAATGAGACTCACATATCACTTCATATGTGATAGCTTTTACTGCAACATATAAATGCAACAAGAATCCATGTTAATAGAAAGCCATAATCAATGTTTTAATCATATCTAAAAATCATTTATGGGTCATTCCCAAATCCTAAGACCTATGCAAGTACAATTTTCTCATTTTGATCTGGTAACAAAATATTTTATCCCAAAATTGAAGTGAAATAAAGTAAATTGCATATAGTGAGTCCCATCTAGATATGTCACCTGTTTCCAACTATAAAACAATTTAAAAAAAAACTTACGTATTAATTTTCTAAAAAGACACAGTAGTTGTGTTTGCGAAAGGTAAAGATAGAATATTTCAGTGATAAAAGGTATTTTCTTACATAATACATGACGAGTTATTTTAATAATAATATAATAAAACTCTGGCACACATCCAGGATCAAGGCCTTCTACCTTGTTTTTGATGGAACTCTGATAGTACTGTTCTTTGTCAGCTGCTTTATAGAGACACCCAGCTAACATGTGGCACTTGAGTGGCTTCTAAATTCCAGTATACACTCAGTATGGTCTATAAATTCATCAAATATAGGACTTAAGTGAGGAAATTCGAAACATGAAACTGGAAGCATGACATTGGTAATAGGTAACATCCTGTCTCATAGCCCTGTCTCTCTGGTCAGTTGTGTCAGTAAAATACACAAGCCTGACAATTGGCCACCCTCTGTTGAAAACTTCAGAGCCTTTTTCATCCTCTCTTCCGGGTGACTGCTCTCTCTGAAAATGGACCTGTGGTCTGACTTTGCTAACAGGAAAGCAAGAGCGTATTACAGTTTGGGTGGGTTGACTTCACGTCTTCAGCATGCTCTGCTGTCTGTGCAGAGCTGAAGAGAAAATAAAAGAACCAAATGTTCCTGAGGGCTGTCTGCAGCCTCACTCTGGCCTCACCGCCCCTTACAAAAGGCAAACCTATGGTGTCATGTCCTTATTTAAGGCCTTAAATCCCTTCATTGGCTCCCGCTGTCTCAGGATAAAGTAGAAGCTTCTAACCCCAGTTTGAGACCCTTGCTATCTGCCCCTTACGTTCCCAGGCCTCTGGCCTCTCTTACTCATTGTCTTTTAAATTAGTGATCATTCTCTTTTCTCTGCCCCCCTTCACCTGACTGGTTCTTTTTCAAGGATAAGTCTTCAGAGTAGCTACCTTCTAGGTCACCCTGCATGACAGCATCCCCTTCTCACAACACACACTCCCCCCCCCCCATCAGCTGTACATCAGGAGTCCCTGTCAGGGAAGACCCTGCCAAGTGTCCCCTCACAGTCTTTGGAGCCACCTGCTGTGGCTTTCTGTGTCCTCACTGCCCCCAGGGCCTGGCTAGTAACCTCAATTAGAAGCTGTGATGAGGGGTGTGTCCTGAGCACATTGCTGCAGGGCAAGGCTCCTGAGGGTGGGCAGCAGCACCTTTCTACCTCATTCCTGCTGATTTCTCTCCTTAGAACTTCATGTACAGCAGCGATCAGACTGTGTTGTGCCCGTGGGTCTCCTGGCATCTCCTCACAGTACTGGTTCTGACCCAGTGGGCTCCTCAAGAATGAACCCAGACCCTGTGTTCCCTCAAGCATATAAATGAGCCCCCAAAGGCCTTCCCGGCCAGTTTCCACATCCAGCTCCTGCCCTGGGTTCTCCAACTGCTCCCCTTTGGCAGTCAGCCTCACATTCCCTCCACTTTGGGGCTCACCTCATCCTTCCATGGCCCGAGGAGGTCCCCAGATCAACCACAGACAGTGCCTCCTGCTAGGTCCCGAGGAGACCGTGTTCCCACCAGCAAGACCTCCCGTCCCTGTCCCCAACCCCAGGGAGCACAGGTGAGGATGGTCTCTCGGTGAGCAAACTGGCGGGGAGCAAATCCCCCTGGCCTCTCCCCAACAGTCACCCTGAAAATCTGAGTCAATGCAGAAGCCCCAAGTGTCCCCACGGCCTAAGGTTTTAATGTTTATGATGTAAATATTATTTGGTTTATATCCAGTTCCATTTCAAAGTTGCCCAGATGTGTTGAGCTTTAATACTGTAAATTTGTTGTAATAATTGCTAGGTTGAAATTCACCATGTTAAAAAGGAGGGCGTGGATATATGTTGTCAAGGTGTCTGCAGTGTATTAGTGACATTCTGTGATTGACAGCTGACAGATTCCTTTAGAGTGAAATATTTTAAGCCAAAAATAAAAAAAAATCCCCCTTTTAAATGTTTTTGATATTCTATGGCTCCTTTAAATGCCTCTGGCTGTTCCCAGAGGGAATTTTTCATTTTTTCCTCTTTCTTTTTCCTGTTTGAGTCTTAGAAAACATTAGGGTTATGGTGCTTCTAAGCTGCGTGGTGTGCAGGCCTGACCAGAATAAGACTCACATGGAAATGCCACAAAAGTGTCAGGGAGTGTTGCAATGCCACAGTCTTTCCTGACGGAGATGAACATGAAAGCAAGTCATTTGCCAGGAGATTGGAATTAGACTGATGTGGGACAAGTTGATTTGGACACAAGAACTTCATTCTGTTCTGTTCTTTGCTTTTTCTTTTTGTGAAGGAAATTCATGACCCCCAGGAAGTCTCTTTCAGTTATATAACATTATGTTTGATGAAATGTCATCGTTCATAATTTTTGTCTTCTCCCCATAGGTATATCCAACTTACAGAGCTCCTGTATTTGGAAAGCGTGAAGGGGCCCAGACTTTGAACTCCTGTCTTGTTTCACTGTTTTGTGTTTTTTTAAACTAAAGCTATCCAAAGCCATGTATTAAACAGAATAATTTTCTATATTTAAAAATGAACAAAAAAGGTAAAATGTGTTATTTGGATTTGGAAACTAGCAGGAGCATGGATTCATGCTAGAAACCCAAACCCCCTCACTAAAATCAACAAGGTGACCTTGGCATTAACACTCTAAATGCTGCTGCTCTGCCCACACCTGCTTGACTAGCAGAAGCCCATATTTCCACCCTGAAATGTTTTTCTAGAACTGCAGTGGAATTCTGAAGACTTAAAAAAAATTGCACCAGTTGCTCTCCTGACATGGAGCAGAGAGGCAATTTCTGCAATGTTTGTTTTTTTTTTTTTTCATTAGCTTCAGTTGACTGGTTCTAATAATAAAAAGGAGTGCACACATTATAGAAATTTTGAAAAGCAATAATATAATGAACAATATAGTGAGATATGATTTTTCCATCAAAACATACATACTTTTATAAATTAGCTTACTCTCTTCCTGGTATTTTCCAATATTGTTAATTGTGTGTAAGGGCGGATAGTAATGATGTAGAGTTTGAGAATTACAAAATGACCAGGACAATTACAACAAAATCACAACCCATAATCTTCTTCCTCCTTCATCTTAATTTCCCTAGCTCTTCATTATATCACCTAAGGATGTATCATGAAATATATAATTAAAACATGATTTTAATTTTGTCTAGTATTTAACATTTAAATAAATCACATTATGTTTATTTTCTTATCTTGGCACTTTCAACAATATGTAGGCAAGATTAAATCCACATTGGATGCAGCTAGAACCTAATTTAACTGTTTATAATATTCCACCTGATGCAAAGTGATAATTTTTCCGTTCTAGTCTTCACACACATAAGGATTATTTCATTTTTTTTCTTCTATGATGGAATTATAAATGTCTCCGGGGTTTTATATTCTACTTTCATCATTTAACATTGTAAGTATTCTCCTGCGACATTAAAAAAATAAGTATTGTAGCTGATTGCTACATTTCATTTATGCATATGCTGTAATTAACCATTCCTTGGAGTTTCGTTTAGATTTTTTCCAATCATTTATTACTATAAAGAAAGTGCTGGTGAACATTTTTACATGTATTTTTATCTGTTTTTCAAAGCATTTCCTAGGTCATTTCCGAAATACAGAATGCCTATTTCTATTTAAAATAAAAATATGTTAAATTCAAAATTCTCTGCAGAACGGATGTGTGAAGGAGGGGACAGGCGCACACTTCCCAGCCCTTCCTCACCGACTCTCCCTCCCCCTGCTGCCTCTGAAAGGCGCTGACACCAGCAGCTGCTCCCTCCCTCCCGTCTGCGCGCCTCCCCTGGCCCGCCCTGAACTGGCGACTTCAGCCCGTCCCGGCGCATTGCAGCTCCTCGCCGCCAGGCGGCGCCCTCTGCCGTTTCTCCGGGCTGTCACTTTCATGGCGCTTTCCTTTCCTTCTCAGGCCTCAGTCACTCTCCGCGTTTCATTCGCGAGCAGCCCCGCCCTCATTATTCTGCGCACGGCCCCTCTCCCTCCCTCGCCTCCCTGTGCCTCACGCGCCCCGCGCGTCACCGCATCCAGGGGCTCGGCCATCCTTATTCTGCGTTCTTCCTGCAGTACCGCTCCGGCCCACAAGACGGCGCTCTCCGTTTCTACCTACGCTGTTTTATCGCAGGAGCCTCTCCTTCCTCCTACTGCTTGAGTTTTTTTCCCACGTTACTACCCCGCTCCACAAGACGGCGCTCTCCGTTCATACGCGCCTCCTTTTTGCCCCTGGAGCCTCTCCTTCCTCCACTTCCGCGTCAAATGGCCCTATCCCACAAGGCCCTGCGACACGAATGTGCTGGAAGGAGAGGCTCCTTGACCAAAGCAAGGGCGGGTGGATCGGAGAGCGCCGCCTTCTGGACTGGGGTGGTAACGTGGAAAATCGCGGCCTGCGGAGCTGTCTGACAACAGAAGTGGCGGGAGGAAGGAGAGGCTCTTGCAGCAAAACAAGGCCGGCAGAAGCGGAGTGCGCCGTCTTGTGGGCTGGAGAGGTAATGCAGGAAGAACGCGGGATAGCAATGACTGCCGCTGGGCATGGTAAAGGGCGGGGCCGAGGCGGAGGGAAAGGGGCGGAGCACGTAATAGTGACGGGCGGGGCCGCTGGTGAGGGTAACGCGGGGAGTGACAGGCGCGAAGGGGGACGGGCAGCGCCTCCAGGGCGGAAGTGCCGAGCAACGACAGAGGGCGCCGCCTCGTGGCGAGTAGGAGCAACGCGCCAAAGCGCTGGGACGGAAGGGCCCAGGATGGCGGAGCCCGCGCTGACTTGGGGAGGGGAGAGGGTGGGAGCAGAAGGTAGGGGGGTAGGGGGGGGCCCAGCCGGGAGGAGGCGCTGTGGCAGAGGGGGGAGTTTGGGGCCAAAGCCTGGAGACGGGCGGGGGAAGGAAACGCGGGCGAGGACGAGGTGAAACACGTCCCGTCTCCGTTCCTGAGAAGACGCGTCACCCCGCCCTTCAGAATTTCAAAGACTTTTATTGTGCTTCAGAGGAAACAGCGGTTCTGGTTTTGGGAAGTGACCCGAGGAAACGCGCCGAGACACGCAGGGAAGCTGGTGTGAGGAAGCCTCGCCCGCCCCTTCTCACAGCAGCGCGCGGCTGGGAACAACCCGGATGAACACCCCAGGGCGGGGTCCAGTAGACTGCGGTGTGGACACGACTGAAATGTGGCCGTGACAGGGATCATCCTTTCCCAGGCATCACAGGGGGAGACAGAAAGGAAGACGGGCTTGAGGGGCATGAACGTTGTCTGCTCCCCTCCGAGGCCCGAAGACGAAGGCAGATGCTTTCCCGGAGGGGCTGAGGAACAGCTCAGGGTTTCTAGACGCCGGCGCCGCCACTTAGATGGGCCGCAAGTGCCTTTTGTTCGTGGCTTGTCCTTAACGGAGAAAACAGGGAACAAGTTGGGGAGATCACAGTGGGGTCAAGAATGTTCGTCTCTTGCGCCCACAGACGCCCACGGACACAGGCCACGGACATTCACAGTAACAGGATGCGGCCTTTCCTCATCAACACAGTGTGTTCACCTGTGAAACTGAGAATCAGGGAATGGCATTGTTTGTATTTCCTAAACACGCCAAGGGGATGAACACAGAGACATCAACTAAATCAGAGGAACTGCTGCTCACTCTTTGGTTGCCTTGAGGTTTTTGTTTTTTAACATGTGCTGAGATAGTTACATTTTTTTCAGAAGGAAGAAAGGGCATGTGTGTGAAATGCCTGGGGTACAGCATATAAGGGAAGTTTGCAAGACAGGCCTGATCATTTCACTTGCAAAAGCCCCCGTCGCCAAAGGGGAGACCGTCCTTGGCCAGATCAAAGAAGAAACAGAATCTAAAGGGAGTTTTCAGATGAAACGTGCCGGCTTGTGTTCATCACTTGGGGACTCCCCACCCCCTACTAGTGAGAACCAGAAGGTCATTCACGGGGCCGTGCAGGGAACGGGCTGGGTCAATGGAAAGGGACACGCGGGCGCCGGGCGCCTGACAGACAGACGGACAGTGACGCCTGGGGCGGTGTTGGAAAATGAGAAATCCTCATCCAGACCTCCGCAGGGAAAGCCGTCAGGATTACGCAACTGTTGATGGCCATGTCTCCTGCCATCTCGCACTTCAATCTCTAATAACCCATCTAACTGGTGAGCCTTGAGCCGTCCACCCGCGTCTCTGTCCCACTTTCTCTTTCAGCGTTTCTGGAGTTGCCCTGGGCCCCGGACGCGTCCTGCTGCCCGTGCATCCGAGTCCTGCTGCGGTGACCTGCGGGCGCCCCCCGGAACCTAAAAGCTGCATGTCCCCTCCTCGCTCTCCCCGGCGCCCTCCCCGCCCCAGTGGGGGTCTCCCCGCCAGCCGCCAGCCCGCGGGCCTCTGTGCACAGGGAGTGTTTTGGGGTGAAGGTCCCGGATTCCGGGGAGCCGTGCTCAGGCCCGGCGGGAGCTCCGGCGTGGGGCGTGGGGGGAGCCCCGGGCCGCGCGGAGAGGCTGAGCCAAAGGGCTGCTGCGTCTCCACGAGAGGAAGAGGGAAGGCGGAGCCAAGAGGCCGCCACAGCGGGGACGAGAGCGCCCGGAGTGTCATCGCCATCATTTCCCCGGTTCGGGCGTCTCCTCCCTCAGCCGCCACTGTTGCCGGACGCCGGCGGGCGGGCCCGGGGTGCGCGTGGGCCACGCGGGCAGCTGGGCCTGGGCGGAGCCACCGGTGTCGGGGCCGCGCGGGCGCCCGAGGCGGGGGGAGGAGGCCGCGGGAAGCCGGAGAGGCCCGAGAAGAGGTTCCCGTGGGCCGGAGGCCCCCCCGCCCCCGCCCCGGAACCCGGCGCCTGCCCCCCTCGCCCCCCCGCACCCCGAGGAGACAACCACGGCCCGGCCTCTCCATCCCGCCAGAGCGCGCCGCCGCGGCGTCCCCTGCCGGCCTGAAAGCCAGACCCGGGGGGCCCGTCCCAGGCCTGACGGCGGCAGCGGGCGCAGGGCGGGGCAGGGGGGGCGCCGGAGCCTGGAGAAGGGGGTGACGGGCGGGCGCAGCGGCGCGCAGAGGACCCTGCGCGGGGAGAGGCAGAAAATACGGTAAGGGGCGAGCCCAGAAGGAAGGGGGACAGGCCCAGAAGGGGGTGCGAACCCAGAGGGAAGTGGGGGAGCCCAGAGGGAAGGGGGGTGCCCGGCTCCCCTAGGCAGGCAGGCGGCCCCGCTGGGGGCCCCGGTGGCGGGGTTCACTCCCGGGCACTCGGGCGCCCCCTCCCGATGACCCGGTGTCTGTCCTCGTGTCCAGCTCCGTCTGCGCGCGGGCGGGTCCGCGGGGCTCGGCGCGGGGTCCCCCGGGAGCCCCTCCGGCCGCCTTCCCTTGGGCCCCGCCTGCTGCTCGCGTGGCGCGCCCCGGGGGTCCCTCCTGGCGGGGTTTGGGGGTGACTGTCTCTGTCTCCGGGGCCCGCGCCGCTCCCGGCGCGTCTGCGGGCTGCGGGGCTCCCGCCGCGGGGCTCCCCTCGCCGGGCCGTCCCTGCGGGCCCCGCGTTTCCTCGCCGCGGCTGCGGGCGCGGGGCCGTCCTGCGGGGGAGCCCTCGTCAGGCGCAGGGCGTGCAAGTCCGTCCCCCTGCTGTGGGGCGGCGGCGCGGGGTGAAGGGGGTCGGGCTGTCCTGCCCGCGCCCGTCAGGGGGCCCTGCCCGAGGGGCTGCGCCGGTTCCACGGCGGCGTTTGCTTCTGCGGCCGCGGGAGCGGGACTGCGGGGGTCACCGAGGCAGAGCGCGGCGGGAGAGACCCGGGGGCAGAAGCCGGAGCAGCCCGGAGTGAAGCCTGGCCGGGGGCTGGGCGGCCCGCGGGG